TTCTCTAACAGGTAAGATATTGTTTGTTTTTAATCTTGTCACAGAACCACCTAGAATTCCAGTTCTGAAATGCTTTAACTGCAGTCTTTAGAAAATATTTTAAAAAGTGTAAAAACAAACAAACAAACAAACAAACATTTCATTCAAGAAATGAATTATTGGTGACTTCTGAGTTAGTTTTGTTGCTTATGTTGTAGAACAAAAGAGCTACCAGCTTTACTCATTACACTTACATGGACTCCTGGAATCATGCCTCCCTCAGACACCAGAAAAAGAAAACAATAAGTAAGAACACTTCCTGTTAACAATAGACATTGTTGGTGAATTCACATCTTGAAACAAAACTAATCTTCATTTATTTTTCCCGCAGCATAAAATAAATTTTATTTAATGTACAAGTGGAGTTTAGGTCTTCTGAACCCTTAGTTTAACTATCATTATGACGTCATGAGGTTTTGAGTTAAATAGGTTTTAATCTGACTGCAACATAAAGGAAAATTTGAAGCAGTGACAGAATGAAGACATCAAACCTGCTCTTTACCTGCTGATTAATCAAAATATTTGCTAATGTCTCATTACATCCTGATGAAGATTGATTTTCATCTTGAGCAGCAGCTCTCTACCATGTCTAACCTGTTGATATCATAAAGTTGCAAATTGGAATACTATTTAGATATCCTTCTGTCAGTCTATCCAAGCTTTTGTAGGTATGCAACTTTGAAAACTGGCATGCTGCATGATGCTGGTTTCACTGCAAGGAGCTCAGCAGTCGAATGCTTATTTGTTTTGCTGCCAGAAAAGGAAAAAAAGAAAGAAAGAAATAAAGAAAGGTGGCGAAAGCAGCCTGCTGAAAGGGAGGGAGATGAATGTCACAAATCAGAGGAACCCCTGCTGCCATGTCTGGATGCAGCGGTGGCTGCTCAGTAAGAGGAGAAATGAAGGGAGATAGAAGGGCAGAGTTGTGTCTTTCTGGCTGTGTTGCACTGTGCAGCTACCAGGTACCCCCACTGTCAGCCCAAGATTGATGGATAGGGCTGCGCATCGCACATAACATCAATTCTGTCCTGCTTTCTCTTTCATTCTGAGCCTGACGCCCTCATCACTCCTCCCTCTTCTTCTGCCTCTTTCTCACCTCTCTCCCTCCCCTACCTCTGCTGCTGCTGCTGCTCCCTCGCCTGCGCTCCTCTCTCCCATAGTTTCCAAAAGGCATCTTTAAAGGCTGACGGGGAGCATGCTGTGAGGCAGCAAGCAAAAGCGAGGCGAGCGGATTGCTATCTTTGTGACAGCCTTTTCCGCCACGGCAAGTTGCGTGCAAGCCGGAGAGCTGGACTGGACTGTGGTTTTCCGTGGACGAGGTGGAGGTGGAGTGAGGGTGGGGAGTGAGGTGCAAGCTGGACAGATGGAGGATGGCATCCAGCACCTGGGACACTGCATGGTTGACATGAAGGAGCTGAGCGCCAACCCTGAAGGACTGAGTGCTGCTGGTGAGCTGTCTGCCCCGTGTTGTTTCTGAGACTTACTGAGTCCTTGCTTCAGTGTAACTCTAACTCCTTGTCTCTCCTTGTGATCTGCTGCTATTTCTGTGGTAATATTAAGAGGATGCCAGAATTGGTGAAGGGATGACTCCTTCTCACAAAATAAATGAGTGACCGTGTTTTTGACGGAGTAAAAACAACAAGGGTGAAGCTTCTGGTACATACATCCATGACTGTGTTTACTTTAATACCTGGTGAAACTCAAAATCCTATTAATGCAAATAAAATAAAGCAAACATTTGTGGCATTAATACAAGTTTTAAAATAATTGATTATTTATGTAAATAAAAAATGTCAAACACAATGTTACAGTCTCCAGTTGATATTGGGGCTCAATTGGCGCACTTTATTTTTCTGCAGTGTCATGTTGACACCCCATGTTCCCACAAATTATGCAAAATAAGTAACTTTAAAACTCAAAGATTTTTAGCAATATGAGGGCATTTTAGTCAAATTGTTTCAGTTCTGTGTCTATAAGTGTATGATTAACTGTTACAAAAAGTCAACTTCATGTAGATTTGGGAGAAAATGAATGAAAAATCCTAACTGTTTCATACTTATTTTGGAGCATAACAGTGTTGGTGTGACTATAGAGCTACATTCACAATGCCAGTCTTAATGTTCTATTTGGATTTTTGATTATGGGTAAACTCAATAATTTTTTTTTTTCATAATTTGATCACAATACAATTCAAAAGTGACCACCATCAGACTCTGCTCATGTGGGTCACTTCAAGGCCATGGTTCACATCAGAGGGAGATGTGACGTCACACAGCCTAGCTATGACCCCTCAAATTTAGCTTGAACTGAATTGTTTCCCTAAAACAACCTAAATAGTTTCAAAACCTCTTTCTCTCCATTAGTGGTGTCTGCCATGTTTGTTTCTTTCAATGTGCACATTTGATGTTGCTGTTTCATGTTGACTCCAGGGAAGAATTGTGACGTTTGTCGCATTTCATTCATGACAGTAGAATGAATTGCAACTTCACCGTTTAGGTTGAGGTCTGACAAACATCAATTATATATTTGATTTAAGACTACAAATAAATTGGCTTGGGTGAAATTAAAGATAAAATAAATAAATAAACATTGGCTTTGGGATGTTCATACTGTTATAAAGAATCAGTTGTGGATAACAAAAAAGACAAATTGGGCCAGGTTTTGAATGTAGCCTAATTTCTTTGTTTTGCGTGTGATCTATACATCTATACAACTCAGAGCCATATGTGATCACATTCAACAAGCAGTGCACACACAGAAAACCACTAATATATTACATTTATGATTTTGTATGATATGATTTTGCATGGCATCCCATTTATTACTATTTGTATTTACATTGGTTGTAACTATATTGTTTTAACAAACTAGTAAGTGACCGGTAAGTTTGAATAGGACCAAAACCAAAACAGATTGTTGCCATCTTATAACTTTATTCTCAAAGATTTCATGGTGGTCCATTCAAATGCTATTTTATGAACCTTCACGTTGTCGTTTGCTTTACATTAAATTACATTTTTAGTTATGTGCAAGCACAAATATTGTCAGCAGCAGCTAGCTGTAGTACTCTTGTGCAACCTGGGGCACTTTCTGCAGATAATATTTTGACTGAAATAACAATGTAACTGACTGAGGTAAAAAGATTTACCAAACACTTTATTTCAAAGCTCCACTTGAAGTGACCTGAGACAATTTTTTGAACCTCACATTACCACTTACAGTATATTGCCTTTGCATGTGTTTGTATTGCAGTGGAAAAGCACTAGAAGTGTTTATACGTTATTATCTACAAAGACAAATAGGTGAATACATACACATACACCTATATATCTACACCATTTAGTGATGGGTGAAGTGAGTAATGCTTCTAGTGTGACAACAAAATGTTCTGCAGGAATTACTGGCATTCAAATTGGTTTCACAATAATAGTAGCAAACCTGAACATTTTAGTTTAATTCAGTCCACCTCCGTTTACCATTACATAGCTACACAATTACAGTTTTTAGTTGACATCTGACAAGTGTAGGAGTATGGAACTAAAGAGTAACACATCGTTGTGCTGGTGTTTTGTTTTCCTTTAGTATTCTAGAAGACAAAAGGGATGGTCAAAGCACATAATTATCATGTGTAGCACGGAAGACGGGTTGACAGCCCTGCATTATCAGTTGCAGGTGAAATGGTTTATCTTCCCTTTGTTGACAGGAGACAAAAGTGGTACTGAACTGAATCACTGTGTGATTGAGATTTTTTTAATACAAATTCCTAGCACATGCATAGAACTGTTAATTTTTAAGTTAGCAAATAATCAAGTAGTTTGCAAACATGAGTTGGAATTTCACTGTCATCTGAAACCCTTAAAGGGATCCGCGATTAGTTGTAACATTAGACTTTATTTGATAAACATCTATTTTAACTGTAAAACTAGAAGCACTCGAAGAGCGCAAACCTCCGCCAAGGCAATAGGGTCAATTATACTAAAAGGTTCCCCTTGGAAAACTCACGTTTGCAGTGCTTTACAGTAAATATAGTAACATCATGTTGCATGTATTTAGACATAATAGTAAATGATGGAAATCAAACTGTCAATGTACTCAAAGATATTTAGCTGAAAACATATGCAGACGTACTTGACCGAAAACTTGACCTTGCCCTTGGCGGAGGTAATAAAATTGAATCAATGGGCCTCATGCAAGAACATGTTCATATTCATATCCTAAATTTCTCTTACTTTTGTTCGTACAAAAGGTTTGTACGAACATGTCACGTCAGATTCAACAAACTCTTTTATCTTCTATCATCATTTGCCTAATTTATGTATTGTGCAGTCTATTTTCCCTGACACCTGGAAGTTTGCTCAGATTACTCCCATTTTTAAATCTGGTGATCCAACAGAAGTTTCAAACTATCGGACAATTTCTGTTCTTCCTATTTTTCTAAGTTACTTGAAAAAACATTATTTAATCAACTACTTCAGCATCTAGAAGCTAATAATATGCTAAGCAATAGCTAACATGGTTTCAGCACGTCAAGGTCAACCATGTCTGCATTAATATTATTCATTGAACAAATACGTGCTGCTTTGTACAAAGGTCAAGTAACTGGTGCTGTACATATGGATTTCCGTAAAGCGTTTGACACAGTTGATCATTATACTCTCTTACAAAAGTTGATTTCTTTTCAACTTTCATCATCTGCAATACAAATGTTTTCCTCTTATTTGACTGATAGACAACTGATTCAGGTTGTGAAACATGGAAGCTCTATGACCGGGTCTCTGCCCTGTTC